CGAGGGCGCATGAGTCCGGAGCAATTTTAATTAGCAAAATCCATCATGACAGTCTGCTTTTCGCTTCCCTTTGAACAATTTTTTGAAAAATAAATTAATGATGGTGGAAACGCCTGAGGGCGTGAGATAGTTATGCATACAAAAATACTTTAGTTTACACCATTGCTGAGTTAGATTGAGAAGGCTTTGAAAAGCCTGATCAAAGCAATAACTCAAAACATGTAGACTAATCTTCCTGGTAGGTCACATCAAAATGGACTGACTATCCTCCAAGTGTAGGAATGTGCTACTGGATAGTCGTCTAAATGTCGACAAAACTAACTTCAGAAGGGTTCGTCGTGACCTAAATTCAACAAAGAAAGGGATAAAACTTTTCGAAACTTCATCGGAATAAACCAAATGTTTTTATAACACCAAGTTGAAGAAGCAATTAGTGCAACATGCAAAAATGGATAACGGTGTATATGTCAGGTTATTACAGTTTTAGATGAAGGAATGATATAACACTTTTTGAAACGATAAAAGAGGTAGCGGATTTGAGAAGACAAAGTTGTTTACTACTGTTGAAAGGAACGCCGATTCGATTGCAGAAAGAGTGGACGACTTAGCTGGCTGCAGTGCCAAGAACTGTGAATTCTGACTCGCTTTGAAACTTTGTATGGCTGGGCACCAAGTGTTGTTGCTTTCGACTGCACTGACGCATGTATATGCATACATGTATTTGTATGCGTATATACGTAACTCCACCTAACTCCGTATTTGAGCTATGGTCCATCTGGACAATTCGCTGAGTCAAAACCGAATGAAACGTGGTCGTACACCTTACTGCCTGCATGAAAATCAATAATATGTGCAAAATGTGGTACAGGACCACCCGCGCCTCAGTTCTTCAGTGTTAGAAGTAGATCGATAAGAAGTGGCAGTTTTCTCGTGACGTTGAATGTATTCTCAACCCAGGCAAAAACTGTCACCTTACTGAACTAGTTGACTCTGTCCATGTTACCACAAAATTTCTTGTTCAGAATCACACCCTGTATCAAAGGTTAGTAGTTATTGGTTCCATTGCCTGCTTGATAGAAATGCGATTTCGGGCGCACCAACCTTAATATTTAATGAAAAGTGGGTAGCATATTCACCTCTTCCTGTAGACCAATTTTGAGCTGTGACATTTAACAGCAACGCCCGCTCACTGTTTGCGGTGGTGCGAATCACATTAGAGAACACTGCAAAGATCTGTTCACGGAGAATGGAGTGGGGAAGAAGTAAGCAATATACTCATTTTGACTTTAGAAAAAGTCTGGCTACTCGATTGCTGTTCATTCAGCAGACAAAACAGACCAAAATCCGTTGTAAGCGGGAAGTTTTTCTTCAAGTTGAATAGAATTTGGCAACACTCTGAGCAAATTATGCGGTCCTAATATTTGTTAGACAAGTTGCAGAAATAGGCGTGGCCCTCGGTTGAAACACTGCAGTTGTGTTCAGGCATTCAGATGTAGCTAAATGATTACATTTTATAGTTTGTTCTGCTGGTCTCATGTAGATGGAGTTTGTGCCTTGGAGAGAAAACAAGGTCAACGGATTCGATCACTGGCGTTGTCTCTAAGCTAGAGCTTTCAGCATGGTTTAATTCTAATTAATTACAACTGAAAGGTCGGTATAGAATTCAACCAACGAAAGCAGTTAAGCTTCATTTCAGTTTTGCTTCACTTCATTAATCCAGGGATACCTGGATATGTATGGATCACCTGCCATAGATACTGCAGTGGTTACCGATTGATCCAAATTATGGAAGTTGTTTTTGTAGTTTAAAACTGCCAACGATCAGGCTTAAGGCATGATAAGATTAACCCATAATACACAGAAATATTGCAATTTTTGAAAAATGCTTCAGGACCAGGAAGTATGCCACTGGGTATAGAAGAGCGAATTCTTCAGCATTCCTTGCGTTTATTCTGATGGGACAATGAGGCCATTGTATAATGGACATATACCTTCAATTGTGATCATGGGAAGCTCAGAACATTGCGTACATCATTCAACATAGGAGAATCAAATGCTTGTGTCGGATGCTGTTCTGTATTCCGAATCGTCCCGCCGCAGTTCAGTAAGGAATACAGTATAAACTGAAAAAAATCGACTGCGCCCTGAATGGAGCAACTTCAACTTGTTCGCAAAGGGCTGCTGATCTCTAGGTTTTGACCAAAATACTTTCTTTGAAGTCATCCTTATTTCGTGATACTCTCGGCACAGATTTCACTTCTTGTCATTCATTGCGGGTGGTTGTGCTCAATGAACTGTTTGGTTAGCATGGGTTTGGAAACCACAAATGTATGACAACAAAATGAGGCTGGAAAACGCTAGCAAAGCCAGCACAAGCACATTTGAAAGATGTTTTTGCAACTTGTTGCATGATGGCTCCCAGCAACTTAAATTTCCACTTAAAGAAAAGAATTCGAGGAATGCAGCGTTTGACAAACCTATAATGGACCTACTAAAAACGCTTCATCTGGTACACATTACATTCGGTTGGTCCATTGCTATATCCAACACTGCATCCAACCACCATGATACCATTCATCAAATGAGCAAAAAGAACTGTTTTTCTTGTTTTGAGGGAGGAACGCACCTTAGCGCGCTCACGAAGACCGATAATACTTCTTGATGTTGGAGTTCCGCTCGTTCGCTCCATAAGTGTCACCTACGTCGGGTTTAGATCAGTGGTGCCTGTCGACCGGACCAACAAAATGGATCTGATATCGCTACACACTTGCTCACAAAGCCGTACGACTTCCAAGATATTCTGTGATTGGTACATGAAAAAACACTTCCGGGAGATATCTAGCTTTGATGCTGCCTGCTGAAAATCCGAAACTCCTAGGATGAAATAAATCGGAGAAAACCGGGACGAGTTTATAACCTTCGTAGCTTTTCCCGCATTGCGCTTGAAGTGATGTTGCTCTTACTGGTCTGGTTCATTAGTATCCTCGCGCACCTGTGCCGTCATCATTTACGCCCTTGAAATGATTTTACAGAACAAATGACAAGTCAGCGCGTGCCAGCCACCACGATTAAATGGTGTTTGATTCGGCCCTTTCAAACTAAACATTCCTTAGGAATTCTGCAAAGGCCATGACATCAAAAACTTAGATGGCATTGTCAGCTAATACGAAGAAAGGCCAGTGAAAAACAGAGCAAAACACCAGTAAAATTCGTTTTGCTATTTCGGTTTGCCAGGATTTTTGAAAATAGAATATCGCTCAAAGTACCATCGCGAATGTTCAATAAATTATCACATGAACAGAGGGACAGGCAATTACATTCCATCGCCTCAGTTCTACTAATGGTGTGCTACATGTAATTACCCTTATTTGCACTCAACGTATTCATTTCAGTGTCTCCTAGCGACATGATACTACATGCCGAGCGAGTCTTACAACGTTATCCTGGCGTCACTTCTCAGTGAAAGTATGGATAAAACAGAAAGTTTGGGAATTTAGCCGTGTTAGCTGAAAATGGATTGTCTGTAAGGGAGAGGATGAAACCTTATTTCAAACTACTGGCGGGCAGCTAGTGAGGCAAATTTCGTCGGAAACATGGGGTGGATCCAAGCGAGTATACCGTGCAAAGTTTGAGAGGACGGTGGCCTGTCACGTAGTCGAATAATGTTACCCAATAGTTGCGGCTGTTAACAGTTTTGCTATGGTTGACATCTTAGAATATCCGGAAGTTCCATTCGTGTCTGTGCATGAATGCATTGCAAGATTGCACTGACCTGCTGAAAAATTTCATCTGTTGTTTTGAATTCAGTATCTACTCAAAGCGCTGTTGTGCAAAGTGATTAAATTACATGCTACTCCCTCTTTAGCTGTCTCAATCACATCACGTACAAGGTGGGTGAGTAATATGTATACACAGGAAGCATTATGGCACCAGTATCAAAAGTACTCATTCACCTTGCCAAAGCCTGACCTCTGTAAGCTCCAATCATACGTGAGAGTTTCAAGGCCTAAACTTGTCAGGAAAAAGGCTAGTATTCAAAATTTTCAAGTCTGTAAACCTTTGAGGGTTCTATCGGATGCCAATGATAGTTTACTCCTGCGTGGACTCCGTGCTTATGAACTTTCACCCAGGTATGGTGAGAGCAACGTTTGAGCAACGGAAAAACTCGTCAAGCACGGTTTGATACAAGGTAACATTTTCCGTTGATATGCAAATGCGGCGCCAATTACGCTAGAGCATGCATGATCTAGGGATTCCGCGACACCAAGTTCCTAGAGTGCTCAGGTTCTCGTGTACTAAACTGGGCTGGAAATGTCGATAAATAGCTCTTCTGTGACTATTGAAAGCATCCGTTGGTGCATCAAGGCCCCCAGGATCGTGACTTTGAAAATGTGTCCGTAAACCTTCAGAGATATTTCCCAAAATGGCACAGAACCAGAGGCGCGTGCTTGCCAAAACAACAATTTATTTGTGAGGTAGTTTTCTTTTTAGTACATTTTAGAAATTATGGCAAGTGAGCCTTTTAATTCGGACCTAGCTTAAGATCGATAGGTGTGCATACACAGCCAAATAAACTGAAAATTTACCCTGGGACTCGAGCCTGTACCCAAGAGTTGAAATCACAAAACCCACAAAATGGGAGAAAAACAACTGGAGCCACGTTTGCTCAGTTTGCCGGCGGATTTCTTCCAAACACTGAGATAACCGCCGTAGCTTCTTTCAAGTTGCTAGTGGGCATTCCTCATTGTGCGAACGGGAGGGATGTGTGCCGCAGATTAGTCTCTCTTTTAGACGGTTTTTGAGATGCTAGCAAGTTTAGTACGGGATGAACAAGCCCATAGCTGAATATCAGGGTTAGCTGTACTGGAGTTTCATGGTTTTGTATCACTTGCTAAATTGCCGTGAGTTTTTTACTTGGGATCCATGAGTATTCAACAGATTAAGGGAAAAATGCAACGGATAATTCGTTTATTCTAGCGACAACGGCGCTCAGTTAATTGTCACAATGTGCTTGTAACGTTTCTAATCCAGTCAAGGAAGTAGGTAACCTTCGTGTAGACTCCCGGATACTGAGACGCACACCGTATACCGATGGACACAATTCCCGTAACGATCCACTGATTGTCCGATAGAGAGCGGCAAACCAGAGGACCACCAGAGTCATACTGTTAAAAAGCAAAGCGAGACAGAAAACAGTGTAGGGTAGAATAACGAGGGGATGTCGGTTAAAACCGATTCAGTATATATCAAGCACACGTGCTTATATTAGACGTGCTTTTAGGAGCAGTAAGTTACCGGATTACACTACTTTGGTCGAAGTTATGTAAAAAGCATTTGCGGCTCTGATTTGTTTGTTCACGTAGCCCTCTGGAACTACCGGCTGTTTGATTCATAACGGATTTTTGTTTCTCATGGCTGTGCATGCAATGCATAGTGCAAACTCGTGGAGTGAAAGTAAGTTGCTCGATTATTGTCACATCAATACAAGATTGTAAACAAAAATATTTTACGACCCCAAAGTTCGTGCTAACACCCGACCATCTTAGTTTGATTAAATGTGTGCTGAAAACTCAAAGAACTCTGGGGACCCTAATGGTCTGAGGGGTCCAAAAGTGTAGAACACGATAGATGCCACGATGATCATAGCTGATGATTAGTGGTCAGCACAAAGCTTTCGCAATCCCGGGAGGCTAAGCTTGATAAATTGGAAAACGCAATTTTGGATTGCTTTCTGCAACTCTTGAAAAAGAACATCTAGATTTCAACAGAAATAACTTAGATTCATACCGAAAAGGCCATCATTGCTATACTCCGTAAAAAGTGTAAAGTTACTGTTGGTAGCAGATCGGAAGACAAAAAACTGAAGAAGTGTAGTTTTATGCGATTTAACTGCAATAATGTATGTATATGTATACGGCCAAACGGTGAAATGACAACATTGCCTAATCCTACTACACCCTGCTTGTCTGTTCTCAAAATCGCCTTTGATTTTTTGCATCGTTTCTTAGCCCGAAAATAGTGTCTAGAAAATACGGTTGATTTTATTCTGTCATGTCTATACAATATTTATGATTTGTTGGAACTTTGATATTTATTCAAAGTTTGGTCCTTTGATGAACCCGTATCGGTCATATCGATCTGAGGGCAATCTAAAAAATAACCGTTACCACTTTTAGTATCCATATATTTCATCAATTTGTGGCACAAATATTAGTCTCTGAAGGTTTTTCGCCACACCAATGCATGTTAAAAATGAGGGAGCTTGTTTTGCTTTCATCGACTCTTTCAAATACAGGAAATTTGGCTCAGCTGATATTTACGCCTACTCAATTAAGATATAGTCCACATAGACTGACGCATAGAAATAGCAAGGAAACCGAAATCTGTCATGAGAGTCGAGACTTCTGTCTGGTACAAGAAAACGCTAATTCGGCAATAAGAAGATCATTTGCGCTACGTATTGATCTCATAAAGCTTTCGTAAGTAGAACAAATTTGCATATTGCGACTTGATGGAACACAGCCGTGTATCCTACTCTCTAGCGAATTTAATATTAAGGGTTTTGTAATGAACTCTGTTGGTTCAACGTCACACGTGTTGGTACGGGGACCCTGGAAAAGTTATTCTTCTCCTCAAAACCACCATAGGACTAGTGTCTAGAAAATACGGTTGATTTTATTCTGTCATGTCTATACAATATTTATGATTTGTTGGAACTTTGATATTTATTCAAAGTTTGGTCCTTTGATGAACCCGTATCGGTCATATCGATCTGAGGGCAATCTAAAAAATAACCGTTACCACTTTTAGTATCCATATATTTCATCAATTTGTGGCACAAATATTAGTCTCTGAAGGTTTTTCGCCACACCAATGCATGTTAAAAATGAGGGAGCTTGTTTTGCTTTCATCGACTCTTTCAAATACAGGAAATTTGGCTCAGCTGATATTTACGCCTACTCAATTAAGATATAGTCCACATAGACTGATGCATAGAAATAGCAAGGAAACCGAAATCTCCTCAAAAACACCATAGGAAGCAATGGCAGTCATAAATCAGGGATGCCGTTCGACCAACTCGGATGAGTAAATCCAATAAAGTTATGGTCGTAAAACCCAACTGCTTTTTAAATTCACGGCGAAGTAATTTAGCTGCAACTTCTACGGCTTGGCACTTGTCATCGTGCCATCCACCGCTGACCATTGGTCCTAATAGCAAATAAACACCTGCATCTGTGAACAAAACAGTTTGAACCACATATCAGACAACAACTAATCGGATTTGATTACGAATTTTCGGCAGATTGGCCACGATTTAGGACAGCAATTAGACTCAGTGTTTGTTGAAAACCGTTGTTTGGTCGCATTCACTCACGCCGGATGGACATAACAGTGTTTGTTCGGCTGCTCAAGCCGAAACCAGAAATAAATATCTATAATTAATTTGGTCATTGTCCTAACCTTGAAAGAAATAGAAAATCGACTTCTTTCTCCACAATTTTCTTCAACTTTGTTGTTTTGTACGCTCCGCGGTATGTCCAAGTTCTCTATGGCCCTGTGGTCCGGTTCACTTTTTTGTTATGACTAACATGAGACATTGTAGATCATCTCCATATCAGGACTGATGTCCAGTGAGACTAGAATTCTCTCTTGTTCATTTTTCTCCATTATTTGACAACGCCCATTTGTTTTGTCGATAGCGAACGCTGGAAATGAGAAATTGCAAATATTCTGCAACCTCGCAATGTTTTGCTCGAGTAATTGGTGGTAAGTGTGAACACCAGTGTGAACACATCCTATGAGGACAACACACCAATGGTTCTTTAATTCGCGTTGGGTTTTCCTTGATTATATATCTAGGCAGTGATCAGGAAGTGTCAATATTTTTCTGGCAGAATGGAAATGCGAAGCACTGCAGTTTGCTGAAAAAGCAGGGAACGAGCATCCGTGGAGTAAATACAGTAAAATATACAATCTGCATTTAGTTCGTCATTTCTCTTGTGTCACTTAAGCCAAATTTTATTTATTTTATTCTGCCCCAATAATAAAATCTAAGGAGGACCCATATGGAAATAATTCACTCTTGGCCCTGTTCACTCTTCCTGAGCAGCGTCATATCACACAGCGAACAAATGTTCGCTTCTCTGAATCGGCCTTTCTTGCTTTGTTTCCGATGACTGTCACCGGTCAACTATACAGAATAAAGCCAAAACGAAAAGCAACGCTTTGCGCCCGGGAGGATACTCACCAGCTGCCTAGACCATTTCTGAAGGATAGATTCTTATTCTATAACGGAAGTTTCCTCACCACGGATCAAATATTTAGGTCACTTAAACCTAAAATAATTCTTTCAAAGTGTAGATAAGTTTTAATTACCTAGCTAATTATTTAACTGAGTGCTTTATTATTACATTCTGGGTCATGCCATCAATACCTAGTGTTTTATTTGAAACAGCCGCTGGCATATCTTGTGAGCATCCCAAAATCACGTGCCTCCAACTTTTCAGGCAAGAAGGCGCAAAATGTTGCCCGCTATACGTGGTGGCAAATATCGCTAGAACTGCAGACCCCTCGTAATCCTGGAAGTAAAGAAGTAACTGGGATCCTAGGATTTTGTAGAACACTCACGTAAATTTCTAGTCGGTGCCTGAAGTTTGTACTGTAACATATAAGATTCAAAGTCTTTATTGCTATTTTGGGTCCGTAGGTTGCCTCACTGATCAGGCGGGGAGTTTTTCTCCTAGTGTGATGAGCCATCAGTTAACCAGTGCAAGTGGCTGTGTGCAACAGCCTTGTATCAACAGAAAATCTTAATTGTGCTTGAGATTTCGTGCTGTGGGTGGAGACAGAATACACTACAAGCTCAGGAGCATCGTCCATTAAATCGCCAGGAGTGCGCATCTCACAAAACTCCAGGGATTTACCTGCTGGTGGTCTAAACACTTATCTATTTGACCACGAGCGGCTGAGTAACAATGTAATGTGTTCACACTTTGACTGAGCATGGCGCCTCGCATTTGAGTTCTGTGGCTTGTGCACTGCCCATGATTTCCAATAACGAGGAGGCAGCAGTGAAGTGCTTCTCTGCTTGCCACCACATATTAGTCTCACTCACAAAACGACATTCGAGCAAAAAATTTCAAATCCCTATACCATCACCTATTAGTTGTATGTGTAGAAGAAATGATTACATCAAAGACTCAACAGGTACAATGCATTCGTTTATCTCTCCCGTGAAGCAATCGCAATCAGCGGTTATTTCGCTTATCTTTTCAAACTACTCACGAGCGACCTGACTCGCGCCCGCTTAACATAATCGAGTTTTGATTCCCTGTTTCTCATTCTCCAGGTTCCTTAAAGTATGCTTACCGTGTGGTGTTCAGTGTCAAGATTTAGTCGTCTGTCCATTTCCTTTTGCAAATTCGATTGTCTGCTCCAATGGGAACGTAGGTTGTTCGGGGATCAAACTCGGACACCATGGGATGGCGGAATAGCAACCTTTTCACCGCGACAACTCGATTTCCCCAGCATGCATATTTTTTTTACTACCTTTGTATTGCGCCTTACCTGATAGTTTCTGTAGATAATTTCAAACGAGCCTAGGCACACATTTTCATTTTAACCAGTAGCAATCGATAATCCCTCACATTTTCAACTAAATGGTGCAGATAAATTTAATTTGTGCAAAATTCAACCAGTGCCCGGTTGTCATGTAGTTCCCGTTTGATTTTTGTTGTAGAACATCTCTCTTCTGCGCCATACACCCTATATACTACCTGTTTACACTGTCTGAGTAGCAGTGTACGTACATTTGTGTACCATTTGGCACTTTTTCGTTATCATTTCCAGGGAACCTTGCTTCCTTTTTCTGTTTCTCCCGGTTACTATACAGTTGAGCGTTCTAGTCGGTTCACATTGTTTTCCAACTCATTGGTTATTGCGAAATCTTGTGAAAATAGAATCTAATGCCCTCTTCCTTCTGTTCCTACTGTCTGATGCTTACTAAATACTAAGTACATACAGTCCAGTATCTCCAGCTGTCCTGTGAAGTCCTGAGCAGCCGAGATTTTACAGTACCCGATTTCTTGGATTTCTGCAAGCTAGCATGAGGAGCCAGTCTGCCAAGCCCAATATAACAAAAGGTTGAAATGTAATTTGAGTTACTTATTACAACTGTCGCCTTGTTCAGCATATGCGTGAATTAGTACTGTCTGAATTCATAAGATCTTAAAATTTTAATTAAAAATTCACACTGCTACATGATATGTGTTGCAATTCAGAAGATGTATAAGAACAACCGAAATATGTGGAAGGTAATTATGCCAATCTAGTTTATTGCCTCAAAACTGGCCGGTTTACTATCCCATTAATTTTCACCTGCTCCAATATAATGTGTAATTAATGAATAATGGAAGCCCACTTTTCCAGAACTTGAAGGTGACATAAAAAAACCTATATGGCTTAATGGTGTTTACCTGACAAGCATCCTTTCCCGGAACTCCTCCGGCACAAATCATCCATTCCTGAATAGTAGGAAACCGAAATTTTGAGTACTTCTCTTGACAAGTTTCTGTTGAAACCAAGGGGATACGGATATGCCTTGGTATTTTTGAAATCTCGCCGTCTATTGAAAAAAGAAAGATGAAATTAGTGTATAGCGCCGCTCACGGTTGATTCCAAAGTTGTACATTTCTTAGCAGATTTGTAATAAATTGTGACATAAAAAATGAGATATGATACCACGTTTACTGATTTTACATTTTAGCGATAATACACACTTTCTGATAGGGAACCATTCGTAGCGTTTAACCTTGTGGAGGGCTAAACAGATGCCTTGAGTGGTAAATAAGTGAGTTTCTGTCTGCAGATCAAAGCGAGATGACCACCGTGTCTTATACAAGAATACGAATCAAACTGTTAGCCTATTTAATTAAAGTGGGATTTTTCATAAATTAATACCTACACAAATAGGATTGTTTTGAATCCGCCCACTGTAGTCTATTGTGAGCAGTTCCCTATTTGCTTTCGAGATGTCATTTGGAACAAGTGTCTATTACACACACAATGTCTATTACACGTCAGGCTTGGCTGGTTTGGCATCCCTTAACTTACACCTCTTATTGGAAAACGACAGTACTCAGACACTAATGAGATAAGTCATATACGCCCATAATAGCCTACATGAGAAATGAGGTGTACAACTCTCTCTTAGCAGCCAGACAGCAGAGGACCCCATAAATTGAAACAGCTCTGGAAGGTATGACAACGTATGTTGGACAGAGTGACATCTGTCAAGTCAGAGAGAGTCTAGCGTTACTGGATTATATGGGTTAATTGTGATTGTTTGGAGGGGGTTAATTGGCGGTGTTATCGGAGTCTGGGAGGAATGTCACCTGAATACAGAACCCTTTTCTCACCAAACTGATGCTTGAGACACTTTGGTTTAGCATATTTTTAATCAAGGTTTATTGGGCTAAAATGTCTCTTCATGTCTCAAAGTGGCAAGGGACTTGGAGGCACTTAGATTGGTAAATATATGTCGTATTGCTCAGTTACTTTCCCGATTGAGGAGATCAAGTTGCTTCTTAAAAGTGAGCATTTCTCAAATATAGAGGCACACTCTTCAAAGGCCATACTAAGGAATGCTAATTACCTTTTGCCAGATACAACTTTATTTTATTCTCATGGACCGTGCAGCTTCTGGGTATATAAATATGTGGAGATCGGTTTTGGTCAGATTAAGAGGAATGCGTTCAGTTAAATCCCATCGCTGGAATTGTTAAAAAGCACCCAAATCTTCAAGTTAAAAACCTGATGGGAGTTGCTTGATTCTGTTAATTAAGCGCTAAAATATAACTTACTTTCTTCGGTAAACCCCCAGCCAGCAACCGAGCACATCTGTCCCTCAACGAACACTTCCTCTGGGTAAGGTAGACAAACAATTTGTATGTATTCGTTGAGCACCGCGGGTCGAGCTAGCTTCAACAAGGCGATATCACTTTTGAACGTTGAATCATCGCTGGCTGTATCTATGATAATTTTTATCGAATGCGAAAAGGTGAAAGGGGTTAGTTTTTTCACAGTGATGCACAATGTAACAAAAAGCGTCTAATAATCAGTAATCGGGTTAGTGTTTTGTTACAGCAGTGCACGTGATAACAAAAAATTCTAACAGTCAGTAATTACTGATGGTCATATAACGGTTTAAAATTCTGATTATTATATTGAAAAGTTGCTAATCGGTGGTGGCTTTCAAAGGATTGTAAACTCACTGTTTGTTACACGCTCCGGCAATGGACTACATTAAACTGGTTAAGGAAATAGAAATGGTTTTTCTTTTTAGAACCCAGGGCCGTGGTTAGAATAATCGTACATCCTCTCATATAAGTTTGTTACGTCCACAAGACAAGACGCATATTTCAAAATAGATAACTGGAAACAAATGAGTTTAAAGAGTTCAGTAAATAAAAATGGAACTTGTGGGATGAAGAAGAGCGGGTTTTCACTCTTTCTTAACCGAAGGAGTTCATCTATGGGCATTAGAGTTGAAGTCTGGAAGGCCTAAGGGTGTGTCCGCAGTTTCCAAGTAAGGCGAAAGTACTAACGGATTATTTTGTAACTATGCTGTGCTGTTACCGGTTACCTAATAGGTTGTTAGATAGAGAAAAAAATTATGGCTAACAAACTGGGGATGATGGTCTACCCTATTTTTCTGAGAAGCAAACTCATTTGAAAATGTAATTGCAGCCGTATGGACCCAAGCAACTGATGGTTCACCCCACTGTCATTAGCGATGCCCCCCATCAGAATACGCAAAACATCTACGGCAATGATATTCTGATGTCGGATTGAGGTAATACTGCACGTGGCCTTTCTTACCTGTCGATTTGTACATCAAGTGTAATACTGGCTTGCATTGTTTGGCCACAAATCAAACAAAATATGGTACGAACTAGCGTCTGCCTTAAAATAGTGCGTTCCAACTGCTTTCTGTGTGTCCACAGTGAAGTTTATTGATAATGACATTACTGTTTGCTTCAATTTTCCTTCAGCCCTAAGCCTTTGTTGTAGGCGAAGTGCTGAAGCAAGCTACAGGTAAATGAAACGTTTTTTTTCCAAAAAAACGATAATTGAGTAAATTTGATTAGAAGTATAAAAAGAGAGAGCTCTGCTTGGATAACATTTTGCTCACTCTGTTACCGGTAAGTCACAAACCAACACGCAATACCATGACAATTTTACACAAAAGCAAGAGTTCTATTACGGTATTCCGGTATTAAGCGCCGCGTAAAAAGCACTGTTACTGAAGCAAGCACAGGTAAATGAAACGTTTTTTTTCCAAAAAAACGATAATTGAGTAAATTTGATTAGAAGTATAAAAAGAGAGAGCTCTGCTTGGATAACATTTTGCTCACTCTGTTACCGGTAAGTCACAAACCAACACGCAATACCATGACAATTTTACACAAAAGCAAGAGTTCTATTACGGTATTCCGGTATTAAGCGCCGCGTAAAAAGCACTGTTACCAGAATATAAAAAACAGCGCTCAGGAAAAAAATCCACCAGGCGAGACCTCGTACAACTCAAATAAACGCCAAAGGTATGATTATTGAGTTTGTTGTAAGCGAAAATTGTAAGCGAAAAGTAAGCGAAAATAAAATCCAACCAACCTAAAAGTGCTGCTCCAAAATGAACCTCACTGTCATAAAATCCGAAATCGTGCACCTAATTGACTAACTTGAAAGTCAATAACCTACTGCTCCACATAAGTACCGGAAAAAAACCAAACAGCGTGTTTTTGTTGAGGAGGCGAATTACTACTGAGTTACAGATAGGCGTCTTAAACGTAACCAAAGAAGTAGTGCTAAAATATTCGTTTTTCACAACCCAAAGTTGGCAGAATCCAAAGACATATCAATCTTCAGGCGTCTAATCGACTACTCATCCCAAACTCATCATGAAGTAGGCAACTAACCGTTTTTTAACTTGTCTTCCGCACTCAGAAAGACCTGACAGAGCTTTGGTTTGATTGATTGGGTAAGGTTGCCCTTAATCCATATAAATATTGAAATCTGTACTTCATGTATGCCAAACCTTTTCGCAAGTTGTGAGACGGACACAATGTAGAAAATATACTCATCCTGCAATCCTGTTGTTTTTGCTCTCTTGTTTGAATTGATTAGGGTATCAAATTACTTTTTATCCTGAATGCTGCGATATTCTCATTGAGGATGATAACTATTAAGTCTTTGAGTTTTCTTAAGTTTATAAACAACTGTCCCTTACAGATCGGCTTATACGTGAAGAAGATGAACTACACAGACAGAGAACTACAAACTGAGGGGAAAAATGTCTCCCGGTTTCATTCAAGTGTCTAACCACATTAGCTGATGCACATTCCTCTCATCTCAATACTGATCTGTTATCTGGGAGCCCATCAGTCTTGCTCTGCTTACGAAGACGCTTCAACTAAGTTAACCAGTTCCGAATCCCTTGATTTCGCCTGATGGTGTACGTCTTGAAGTTATACGCCGCAGTGAGGAGGGTTCGTGCTATAAATAACCTACATCGGATAGCAAAAGATGAGCTAACCAAGTTATTCTTGCGAGTGCATTTCAAAATGCGACTGTCATACGAATTCTACCCTGAAGTTTCGTTTGACTGAGGAATGAGTCAGCAAAACCTGGGACATGGAACTCATTCCTACTCTTTGGCTTTGAGAAATTGAAAATTAGAGTGCATAAATATGAATAAATTCAATCTGAAGCAATTTTATTTGATTTAGTTTAAAGCAGTCCCAGTGACTTGAATAAGAGATCTCTCGGCAGCGCATTTTTCTGAGCATTCATCAACCTTGCAAGTAGTGCAGTAAAAAGCAGTTAAATGTTTCAGATATTTAAAAAGAAGGTGAATCTATCTTCTTGTAGCATATTTAATTGAAAAATATGTCTAAGGTTTAAGTAAAATTCGTTTGTGTATTCCTTCAACATCATCTTATGTCAATGGATAATAAATTAACCTCCGTAGTTTGCTTTTTTTCAGTCTCAACTGTTAGTGAGGGACGACCATTCTGGACAAAAGTTATTATTATCAACCAGTGCAAATTTGTTGAGATTTTCCAACTCAGAATAGATACCAGTGAATCAGAGGGGAGAAATGCCTCTCCGTCATTCAAAATTACCAGCATCCTAAATAATTCGGTATTCCGAGATTGTGTAACAAAAGCAAAATTCAGCAAACAGTTGAGCTAAACTTAGCTACACACCTATCTGAACCTAACGAGAGATTGAACTAAAGCAAAACTAAGCCTCTCATTCATGATGTCCCTCAACTTAATGTGCCCCCAAATGGTCGTCTTTTGTTCCAGTTGTACTGTACCTACTTGAGAGAACCAAAGAAGGGCGAAACCATTCGTTGGTGGCCAAATAATCCTCGACAACATTGTGACTAGGTTTCCTCTGGTTTAACATTTCCTACGCCTTTGTTTTAAAGTGACTTCAGCTTGTTAGGAATGGGCGTTGGGGAAATGGATTATCGATTTGAGTAGAATAGCGACAGCACGCATTCCGAGGCGAAATATATAGGGTAGTTGATATGTAATATTTCTCACTCACCAGTCTGCGGAAACGTTATTATTTTGGCAATTTCGTATTCCGCCTGCTGAGCGTCTATTTCGTTCATATTGTGCTCACCCAGAATGGCCGTCCATCTGTCCGGCGAGGAGCTCAAAAGCGGATGGGTTTCTTCGCTGAGCACACAAGTAAAATCAGCTGAGGTTATTGGTAATGAATGGTCTGTAGACTGTTAGAAGAACGGACGTATGTTTCAAATCAATGCACATTTTCTTTTGGTTTCGTACACAATTATGAACCACGTTTGGCATTCAAAAACCGTGTGCGTCTATCTGTTAAAATCTGCACCATGTAAACATGCTATATATACATATATATATATATATATAACGTGAATGGACGGAACAGCAGGAAGATCATTGCACAGTGGCTGGAGGGGATAATTTGAACAACAGTTGAGTTCATTGGGACGTGTGACACGTTTGGTGTGAGACCGTTCAGCCAACCCATCAGCATCAACAAAAAATTTGTATGCGCACAAGCATGGTTTTTGTGGCCAGGTGGCAGCAGTGTCCGCTGTGTGTGTAATAGCTCACCATCATCAGCTCGTCGACCTAAGACGCAGCAGATTAGGCAAAATGCTCGACGGTTTTTTTCCAAGAAGGTCATATTGAGCAGCAGTTCACCAAACAACTTCTAGTGGGGGGCGTGTAGTGTTGATTAACGTGACCAGACACATGCCTGGTCGTCATACTGCTCCGTACCGATTCCTAAGCAGAGTACAATGAAGCCAAAACGTAAAGTATCTAATGAAATTTGCAAATCCATACTCTGAATGTTGAATAACAGGTGCCACTTGGAATAAGACTCAGATTTGTTTGGTATTATTTGTATCCACCATGTTCTTCGTCGGGTTAAGGATGATTGTTTTGATAAAAAATCTCTTCTATAAGTTAGATGCAAATGAACCGTTTCTTTTCGGTGGGGCATGTGGCTTCGATAATATTTGCATTCCTTGAGGGTTGTGGCAGCCAATCTATGAGAAAAACGGTTCTGATAGTACGAGGTGAGGGAGGAAGGTTATTGAAATCTTGCACCGTCTACCAAGCAATGAGAGGTTCTATTTACCCTCGGTGGGAGCAAAGCTAGTGGGGTGCATGCACGAACCATTCCATGTGATCCTGCAGTCTTATCTTTTTTTCTTGGATTCCTGCTGTCAGTTGATAACCAGGGCTTCCAAGAAAGAAAGGCTTGTTGGCTTTTCTTTCCAGGCCGAACGATGACTCTTTGTGCGGGGGGTAAAAATCGTTGAGAATTCTTCGTTTTTTTCCAGTCTGTACCATAAAATATATCTGATACAGACACTGGGAGGGTGGATTTCTTTAATGTGGCGGATTTAACGTATGATCAAATCGAAAGTAGCTCGAGTTGAGAACTATATCAATTTTCGGCAATAACGTTAACCGTTATATTGGAACTGTATATTCCGCAATAACACTATAGGTAGCTATTTATATTTCTACAGTACGTCTTCGCCTGCTCGGATGTCGGATATGCATTGACCCTCTTTAACCCTTCCTTGTTTGTGGATGGATGCAAAATGTTGGGCGAATTCAAGCGAATATACCTATCGCCTGTTCACGGTTAGGCCGGTGAAACTACGTGTTCCACACTACCTCGTTCAAGCATCGTGTACGCAACATGGCTAAATTACTTGACTGGTTAAAGCTCTCATGACCTCTTCCACGATGTTCGCAGCTTCTGTTTCGGTGTTGACATTAGCAGGACTGCCTACCTACCAATGCTGTCAACCAAATATTGACAAAGTGATTGTGCGTGCGTTGACAATCTAGTGTGACGTAAACTAGCAAAATGCTCAGAAAATTACATATGTATATACGGTTCATACTGACAGATTAGGTAACACTGTTGTTGAAAATACACTACCCATATATAACAATCCATTGAGCGTTTTTTGTGTCGAGAGGTTTGTCCACGAACGTTTAGAGAAAGAGGGCATATGTGTCGTGATTGCGGGGAAGGGGTCCATTTTGTGATGCTTTAATGGCAAAGTAAAAAAAGCCTTAATTCAGATGGTACAAAATACCGAGACCGAATAACTTTGTGGGATATTTTAGATGGTGTAACAGTTTTGTCGTCTAGCGCTGTAAAAATCGTTAATGGGCTGGTTCGGATCTTTCCAAAAAATTTAAATTTTCCGGCTAAACCTTTTTACTGATTATTGGAAAAACGACAGATATACTTGTACGCAAAAAAACAAGAAAATCTACCCTCATCTTCAACCATTGGTGCATACGAAATGGGAGATACTTACAGATACGGCTGTCCACATTTTTTTCACACTGGATGAATGGCAGTAGACTGTAGTGGCAACTGTGAAATACTCATGAAACTTACACCCATAGTTCAAGGACAGGTAGACCAATTCATATAAACGAACTATGACAAAGCATAATAGCTTCTACTAAAAGTGGGTAAGTTCACTCCCAAGGTCATTGGAAAATCCATTATTTTTCTTGAGGGAAATAGATATACGCACTTACTCAAAACAATGTCTTGCACTCAGAATCCACCATGGACTTATCAATGCACCCGCGCAAATATGTCCAGTCAGAGACGAATTCGCGTCAAGTTCTTCACCCGATTGGTCATCCACATAACTTTCGGGCGAAATATCCTTTAACCGTGATCGGATTTCAGCCATCGCTGCCTCCAGCTGTTTGAGAGATGCCTGATTTAGGTTTTCTAAATCAAAAACTCGAGCATCTGAACGTTTCCGCATCTGAAACGATAGATGAAGCGAAGCTGCTAAGGAAATAATTTTTGTTGTTTACATTCCTTAAGGTTTAGCAAGGTGACACATCAGTTACACTTGATCTATGTTACCTTTTAAAAGTCAAACGACACGTAAATTTGGTGATAATTGCATGTTAGTATTACAGAAACAATCGTGGGATGAGTTGCCGAATTCCATAGTTCGGCTACCAATCACCATGAGGCTCGTTTCACGAGGGATAAGCTTTCATAATGTTTAGTTAATATTGGGTATTTGTATGTTTAATTATACTAAACATTACGTGCACTCCAATCACGAGGCCACTTATTTTTTCCCTGATGTTATTATCCAAACAAGCTAGACTGCGGAGACCGGTGAATGTGGGTTTGGAATTTGACCATCCTTCTCCATCTAACTCACTTCTGAGGATCAATTAGAAATCAAAAACTAAATCATACAAGCACCCTCTGAAAAAGACCCACGGCGAAATAGAAAATACCTGTATCGAGCGGGAAAATTGCTAGATGTAAGCTCGCATTCTATTACGAACAATCATTACTGTGAGGTACCTTCTTTATAGTCCTCTAAATAAAACGTTACAAACCCACAAAAATGTGGGATGAATTGTTGTCGTCGTGAAGCTTGTCTGCTAAAAAAATTGTGGTTTAATTGGCCTGGTCATCCAAACTGTTTATCTGGTGGCGGTATTATTTAAGCTTAAACTTCGTAATAGTGGCAAAAATCCACCATTTTCAGCAAGATCAAACGTGCAAAAGGTTTCAGAATGCTGAGTAAAAAGCGCAGATTAGATGTAACCAGAAACAACGTGAAAATTAATCATTCTTCAAATACAACCTGGTTTTGTAACCATAACTAGACATTTTGTCCTCCAGGTCTTTAGGCGCACTAAATAACAGGAGTATTTTCAGCTCACGAGTGGATTACCAAGCTTGATATAAGTGTTGCTTTTGGTATATCTGAAGGTCAAAAATAACTTTTGATCAGTCTTTGGAATACATGTAGGCATGCGTCAACCTCCGCGTTGCTGATCGCGCTGTTGAGACATCTAATGCAGAGCAAACCAAGTGGGGCTTTGAAAATATTTGTGATATCCACATAGAACAGAATCAAAGGCAATGGAAGTATTATTAGTGTTTTTGGAAAGAGGTTTTTCTAATTTGTTGATTGTGACTCACCCTCGGTCCATGAAGTTGAAGTGAGACTAACCAGGGCCATTCAGCAACATTGGATTCATCCCCGCCTATAATCCTCTTGAAGATGGGATGATATCGGTAGATGTTTCCGTCGTAGCGATTACGACCACAATGTGATCGAATGCCTGAGTTGGAAAAAAGCACTCAAACTGGTGTGAGAAATGCATGGTTCATACTAGTTTTTACACTTACAAAGTCTGATCTCTACAAATCTCAGAATAAATCAATTACTTTGTTTTGTGAAATGAAAGCATAATGAATTTTTTTCAGATGTATTGTCGGGTCAGATCCAGGTGCCATCCTGGTCACCTTGAACTGCCTCATAGCCTCCTGGCGGTGGCCGGCGAGTCGAACTCCGCAGCGAAGGCCTTCTTCATTTCACCAGTAGTTTTACAAATCTTACAGAATTGTTTAAATAAAAGCGGAAACCTAACACCATCAATTCTATTTGTAAGGGAGTGGTATCCAAGACATGCAAAGTCCGAGTTAAAAGACCATATTGAAAGACATGATTTAAACACAATGCACCGGCCTGGCTGACAAATGGGCGGCGTCAGCCAACCATTAGAAACATTAGAAACCATTAGAAACTTGCACCAGGTCATTCCATGTCTGTAGAATGCTTCGATAGCTATGACATATCAACCTATCAGCAAGTTAATTAAATCACCTCCATAGTGCCGTAAATTGAGAGGTATTTTATTGGTTTTTATTTTCTTTACAAACATTCGCCGTTCATTGAATAGTAGAGTATCTAAACAAGGTATTTCCCCCCCAAGCTTTTGTTTTGACCTGTTGCAGATTTTCCTACTCGTCCTGTTGTGACACCGTGTTTTGCATTTCGGTGATTTCCTTTCATGAGTTTGCCTTGCACTTAGAGAGCAAATTTGACGGTGCGGTTGGGCGAGGCTTTTAATAAAGTTCATAAAGCTACCAAATAACTGGACTATACGGCACCGGAATCAGACATTTGTGCGTCACATTTCTATTACCAGGGAGAGCACAGTGAATGCACTATTTGAGTTTGCTCTGAATATGTTCACCACTCAAAATCTATTCCATTTATGGACAACAGCAAGAAGGTACAAACCTTTTTACCGTGATCATTGTCACACTACACGGTGCACTAAAAGTTTTGGGTTAATCCTTTCAGTTCTGGTCATTGAATGTGTGATTTCATGGATAAAATTGTTGGAATTTTATTTCGAGTTGTTGAATAAATTGTCGATTACTGTTCTGGTTCCATTTAGGTCTGATTATCGGAGTAATTCATACAAACGTTTGTCAGTTAGTAGCAAGCCACATAAAACGAAAAACGTAACCATGATCGCAGGTAAATTGGCTGCCAGTGTTTGTAGCGTGCACCTTTGCGAAGTTCCGTAACACAGTGCTGAATGGAGCCAGTTTGTCAATCTTACCATACTAAACTGAACGACACCAAACATAAAGCACTTTCACAACTATTTGTACAGTTTTGTCACATGAAGTCTAGTAGGAGAAATGGTGTACCGTGCGAGTAGCAGTAATGTATCCAAGCACTACAGAGAGAGGTCAGTGTTACATTAATGCGTTTCTATTTTGAGCAGTGATGCATCCGCCCACAAAACGTAAGCCAACAAAAAGCGATATGCCATGGGAGATGAAAAATAAACCAAAACTATTGACGTGGCTGAGGTATGCAAAAATCAAGAGTTGGGATATCGCACCACAGTTATAATAAATTTTTCCCAAAGCGCCTTTGATCCACGTACATATTAATGACCACTGCTCTGAGTATCGCAACTGTCCTGAAATCTGCCTCCTGTCAGATGTAATGAGCCAACATTTAGAAACAATCTATTCCACAGCGGTTCCGGTTATGCGATTTGATCAGTCGAATGAACTTCGTAGCGAGGCTGTTGGTGTTCATATTTTGTCCATAATGCGTCATTTCTGACAGTGCTTATCTATTATAGATTGATTTTTATCCATTTGTTTTTACTAGTCATTTCAAGTTCAGCAAGATTATTCAAAATGTTCATAGTTTTTCATAGCAAACTGCATTCATCTTGCTTGACAATAAAAACATGTTATTAGTCTAATGATGTGCATCCGAAGGGTTAGACAAAGAATTGAGTGGGTAGCTCTGCGTAACAATGAAAAAGATTGCCCGGTTCAACCGACTTGCTGAGCACCTGACAGGCTATTAATTATTTAACGAAGTTCATACTGGCGGAGGAGGAACAAAAATTGGTAGCGCTTCAATATCGTACTTTGCGCTCACGCACAGACATGTATGTATCACCAAATCGTAAATAAATCATCCTCTGTCATCCAGTGCGTAAAACTCTCGAGGTACAATGTGCGCTAGTTAAGAAAGATTTTGACCCAAGATTTCGCAGATCTCCACTGTTATTTAAGAATTCCAAAAGGCACGAAACTTGTTTCTATGATCTTGTAAACAGGAAAGCATTACAACAATTTCACTTTTGAAAATGTCGATGAGGATATGTTGGTCAAGCTCCATAAAACAGTTGAGTGGGCGCAGAATTTTTTGTAGCAGTTCTGATCGTGACCACGCGACGAAAATTATTAATACCCTTTGTTCATTGTCAACTCTTCATTCTATCAAACGTGCACTTTTTACTTCTTTCAGGCGAAAAAGGATAGTTCTCATGTCAATACCGAGGCAGTCCATAAAAGTAATCCAATATTAAGTTCTTCAAGTGGGTAATCTCGCCACAATCACAGTTTCACTGGATCGTTTGCTGTCTTCACTGTGCGGGATAACGCTTTGGCTTGCCTAAATGTCATTTTACAATGCTGGTATTTGCTCCTGTCCTTTACTGTGCGGGATAACGCTTTGGCTTGCTAAATGTAATTTTACAATGCTGGCATTTGCTCCTGTCCGGTTTCGAGCCCATTTTTCAAACTTTTGAGTAAGCGGAAAATACGGTAAGCAACGTTGATCTTGTCAGCACCTGTGTTGAAGTCAACATATTGAAAGTAGTCGTAAAAAATCGCTAAAGTTTTGGAAATTGCACATGGATCGTCTTGAAGAATTATCCTTATAAAACATACAATTTGTTAACAGATTTCATCTGGGGAACGCAACCGAAATTTATTGGTTTTATACAGATTTTTGTCTACCTGCTCAAAAAGCTGCTCAAATTTTTTACTCATTATACTGAGCACCCCAATGATATCACACACAGTCATTTAGCTTGAAGCTATATCTCCCGGACAAAGGGGTAGAAATTTTTCAGCTGCGCAGTTGCTTACATTAGTAGAACAGAAGCAATTCTGTCAGAAAGTTGGTGGAACAATGACCAGAGTAAGTCTTTCGGTCAAGAACGCGGCCGCTCCAGAATTGTAAAACTTCGTCACCGCGCGCTGATAACTGGTCACGGAATCAATCAAGATTCTTTGTTTATGATGTTACCACTAGAATCCTTACCATTTTCTACCTGAGAAGCACTACCGATCGAACTTCATTGAATATTTTGTGTACACAAAACGTTGTGAGGAAACGTATTTGAATTAAAACACGTGAGGCAACAATTTACTGGGGTTTGATACTTCTTTCATCTTTTTGCATGAAAGTTGTTCGTTTTATCTCTAGCGGTCAAATGTAATTCAGGCCGGGTAAACATTTCGAAAGGTATCTTTTGCTCATGTTGATGCAATAGACTTCAAGTCAACATAACATCATACTACACCTTTGAAGCGCGCAGAATTACAGAGACCAGTATAGCTGTAGGGTAGTAGCGCCTTGTCTTATTATTAATGAAAATTCTCAAAGGTTGAAATGTATCGAAAAACGTGGGTACTGTTGACACAAGAACCCTTTCAATCCACTCAAGATTCCCAAATCAGTTTGTCCTTTTAGCCAGCGTCCCGACTGTTGAAATGTCATCCAGTGTCATCTTAGACATAGTTATTATTCCAAAATTGTATGCGTTAGGAGCTGGTCTACTGCAAATGTAAATAATAGAATAATAATCGTTCAGCGGCAACACCCAATCAGTGTCTAGCTTCCATGCTGCCCGAGGGAAGCAGGAGGACTGGCGGAATTCCAGATTGCTCAAACCTAGACAACGGAACCTGAAAGGCAGAGGTCGGGTTCGAACCACGGTCCTTCTGGTCAGTACATTTGTGCTCCAATTACCGAGCTATCTCGCTATCTGCTGCACGTGTGTTTGAGTAGAACCAACGATATTTACCAAACGCCTAAATGCATAGATTCTAACTCAGTGAAGAATTTAGAAGTTCACCTAGTATAAAATGAAAATGGTTAAATCTTCTACAGTTCTTTTGAGAAAAAAAACAGAAAGCATCGTAACACGGTCTACCAATTTGCTGTATTGCCCTAATAATATCATTGACTCCAAAATGATCTGATTCTCATCCAGAGTATAGTGAGTCGGTATAACCGTTCATGCTTAGGTGTATTAAATTGCCAAACCACCATAGGATTTTATCAAGAAATTTTCTTTTCAGTGTGTGCATGTCTGTCTTGTTATGCCCCTTTGCACGTAAACCTTCAGGTTCATCAAAAAGCAGGTGCATATTCTCCACGTTCAATCACTAGGCATCTTTAACGATGAAGAGATGTGGTTCGAATGCATCTTCCGGCTTACTGTCAACTTGAACATTATCGTCGCAGTTTAGCAGGAACTCTGGCGCCGAAATCTTGTACGCACCCTCCAACATCAAGTACACAGGAATATCCCACTTAAAGAATAATTGCAGTGCACACTTCTGAAACTCATTCACAGCAAATTACTAATACCACATATGCGTGAACGTTGTCTTCACAGTTTTCAGTAAATTCAATATATTCACCAGTATATTAAGCGGTATTTTGCTAATCGAATTTCAAGATATATAATGCCACCCTCATTCATCACATTAGCACTTCAGTGAGTAATCAGATTTTTTGGCAATTTATGTAACCCACTCCTGCTGAGGAGCTAAGATATCTCTTCATTTGTAGGAGTGAGATAGGTGAACCTCATTCGGAAGATGGCTGTTCCCTTTCAGTAGTTAATTTTCGCACAAGAGCACCACCGACAAACAAACCAACAATTGATATCGACGTTTGGTGAGGAACAAACGCCCATGGGAGAAAAATTATTGTTCATTAGAAAAATGAATCCAAACACGCTTTATTATATGATCAAAATGCTAAGCTATGTGTCACAAGACCCAATAAGGCGTGTCCTATTCTATGTATTTGGGTGGATAAATCACAAAGAATTCTGCCATGCCGACGCTGTGTACCATATCGAACTGAGCTGTTTATAATAATACATCATAGTGCTTCTAATTGCCTGACAAAGTCAGTTTTGTTATGGAGGCGCCTCCTAATAGTCAACCCATTATAGACGTTTCCCTGGTTTATCACACACTTGCGCCACACTAAACATGGATGAATAAAACGAATGTGCGTGTTACGTTACGTTCAACTTACTGACATTTTCTGTCGGCGTGCGATGCCCCAAATGTTGCAAAAGATTACTCCAAAATTCCGTCTGAAATTCATGAAAATGCCCTGAGTTTTGTTTTCTATTCGCAAAAGAGTCTATTAGTGCATCGAGAAACAGAGAGGCTTTTACATGTCTATCGATCATTATCAATTTGCACTGTAAATTCCCATACAGTTGTTAATTTTGGCCTTTTGCAGTTAGTGACACCAGTGAAACATACAAGTGACTGGACGTCGCATGCACCGGTTAAGGGTGGTTGCCGGACGGCCATTTGCAGTTTGCAGTGGGTTTGTTCGTGATGTCAATCAAGCATTAAGGGCGAGTGAACATCCAGAGATTTAACACAAATCCTCGGTCTGCATAAGCCTAATGGCACAGCAGCAAGCACTTGTAATATTTACAGGCGAAATCAATCAGTTCATCCAAGTTGCAGTGTAACTACCTGCATTTTCCAGTATGACGCCATATAAATATGCAAGACATGCGTATATATATGTGCGTATGCATACTCTAAAATGTGTATACATCCGTATAAGTATACGTGAATACATACACGTGGATAATCTGAGGATTACTGATTCAGAGAAACATGACATAAATAATCAATGTGCGAATTTTCGAAAGTAAATTACAACCCAGTCGCTATAATATTTTATCATACTGAAAAGCCACAAGTAGCAGGACTTGATGTAACCTCCGGGGACCTTGTAGCAGACGTGTGGCGAGAAAACTCTCAAGTCCATCTTCCATTAAACATGATAGTTTTTACCAAAATACAACCAGGTCATTTGTGCTGGTACTGTTATTCGTGAGCGAAAAGGTTTGGAAATTCAAGCTCTCAAGTATTTGCCTACGTACGTGGCCTGCAGCAATTCAGTGATATAGATACCCGATGTACCGTAAAACAGGGGTGAAGTACTCAAACCAGGGACGCTCAAAAGCCTTAGTGTCCTCGTCCTCACTGAACGGCATCAGCTCTGTTTAGAGGCAGTAAACACGGTTCCCTTGATTAGCAGTTTCAAACCGATACTTTCTCATCGACCTCGTCCTCAACGGCATCAGCTCTGTTTAGAGGCAGTAAACACGGTTCCCTTGATTAGCAGTTTCAAACCGATACTTTCTCATCGAACACATACCAACCAGGTTGGTTGGTTCATGATTTTGATTTTGGTTGCGATTTCTGGTCTAGCTGGCAGAACCGGTGTGTGGTCAGAAGGTTTCGTCTGTCATGGATGACCTGATATTGCTGGGAGGTGAGCTTCGTTAATGTTTCCGGATCATATATTTAAACTGGAATTCTAAGCCCATAGTCAGGCAAATCTCAGGTGCTTTACACAAGCGGACGACTGGCCGGAATAAACTTTACAACAATTCAGGGGCTATTAGATGGTTATTTGGATGAGGCCAAAAGTTACATCCAAAGTGAACAGTGTGAAAAAAAGATATTCATGGAAGAACGCTAACTGCCGGTTGAACAGAAGTACAGTACATTAAGTATCACCATTGAAAACTGGCCGTTACTGCGGGTGTGATTGTTAAGTCGGCAGCAAGAATGGTTCCAAAGAACAAAGCCACAATGTGCTGGCACTTTTGAAATCACGGAACACTTGTTAACTTTGTGAGAAATAACATCTCTCCCTCAAAACGTTATAGAAAGTCCATACCTGTCAAAAATTCGGAACAATGAGGCTCTCTTCGCATCTTGCCGAGGCATCAAAAAGGAATTGGAAACAGTGAATCTATTTAATTTATTTAATCAAGGCCGACCAAAGACATGTACCTCCTCATGCGTAGACATCAAGAAAAATTCACTGTTGACGTGGCCCTGAAATGAAGCCATTGTTTTGAATGCTAGAAAGCTAACAGGAATTTCCAATAACCACTGTGCCGCAGGTATATTAAGGAAGATCATTTTGTAAACACACACACATAATTGAGATATACATACATGCTTATGCGCATAAATTATATAGTGTCGGTACCAAAACGTCCACACATTTATGTCAGTAGGTTTGTAACCAAATTGGAAGTCTGGATTAGAGATGAGACAACGGATACATACATACGGAATCGCCCAAAGAGATGCAGCGTAAATTGCCTTCAGATTTACAGTTATCGTTTAAATTCTATAAAGAACTGTATCCTTCAAATAACACAACCGACTAAAATCATATATCCTAACCGTTATTTTCATCATCCATACAGTTGAAGTGTGTTAAATGGTCCTTTACTAGTGTAACGGTGACACTACTGATGGGGAGGCATGCGAGCAGTATGTTCGTTTCTCATCAATTCGCTTTGTGTCTCTTGAAGAGCGAATTTTTGGAGTCGCTTGTAGCATTTGTTTAGATTTGAGCAATGAGTGACTGGAGTCAATGAATATCCAGGAAAGTTCAAGAAGACGCGTTCACGAGGACATGGATGTCCAGGTTTTGTAAGTAAGATGCAAATGAGAGTTTTGCTTCCCTGTAACTGGTCACTTGGCATTTTCCAACAAATGACTACGCAGCGAAGGCCTTCTTCCTTTGACTAGTACTGTACATTCTTGATACCTTTCCTCCTGATTTAGTCGGACGGGAGGAATCAGTTAACAGTGGTCTCCGTCTAGAGCCTACTGAGAGTCAATACTAGAAAAAGTAATGTTCTGAATACTCTCGGTCGCCGCATTTGTCATGTTATCCAAAACCATGTGTAATTAAGCACACTTATCGGTGATTTTGCTCCCCCTACCAGGCCGCAGAAAGCATGGAAAAATTACAAGTATATCTACAACAAGGCAGGCAAATAGAAAAAGCGCCAAATTTTAACTTAATATGAAATATTTGGATATGAATACACCTCAGTCAACAGCGTGAAAGTAAAAAAAGTATGACCATTGTAGCTGAAATCCTCATTTATGATATTTTTCAACCGGCCATACAGCATAAAGATTACCTGTTTAAGTTACCACTGTATTGTAGAGTTCGCAGTAGATGTTCATATAAAACACAACTTATAAGTTCGCTGAAAACTCTCAACAGCCCACGACTGGCTTTGCCATTCTTCGGGCTCATCAAATGGCCTCAGTCTCGTCCAGTTGGTAAGTTACTTTGAGGAGAAAATGTGACATGTTTGTATGCAATATAGTGCCTAATGTGGTCCAGGGCATTCGTTATTCAGACAACAAATTGTAGTGTTAAGTCATACAGGTGAGCAGTTTTAGCTGGTGTATCGTTACTAACCTAGAAGTGACTAAAACGCAAAGTTTATGAAAAATCTGTAAACTACACAAACAACATTTTGCTTGGTGACATATGGTTTAGCATGAGTTATAAAATTTATTTTGAGGATACGCCGCTAAAATACTCGTCAGGTATTCCTGGCCAAAGCAAAGAGACTGGAACTCATTGTGGTTTGGCTGTTTATGTACCCCTTTAACCTACTGAGCTACACTGGCGGTTCGTTTTGACACCCATATAGTTCCTTGTACGAGGTTTGTCGGTAGATGGATGTCTGATAAACACAGTCTCTTGATTCCCCAGCTCGGGAGATGAAACATATACGGCGACTTGACTCTTAAAAAACACGTGCTACTCTGGTAGTATGACGGCACCGGCTTACATTCTGGACAGACTTCTGAGTCATAGGCTTTGCTTGAGGATCCCAAATATCCTTCTGTCTAGTTTTGCGCACCCTGACAATCTCTCAGTCCGATTAGCAACAGTTAGCCAAACATCTGCAAACATTTTCATAACACATAGGTCGTTGGCAGTTTCCTCGGACGTGTCAAATTAGTTACGGCGTACGGTATGGCACTCAGGCATAAAACAAGTTTTTGTTGCCGCCTCCTTCCTCACACTCTAATGTATTCCGTTTTACTTCGCAGCATACCTCACTTTTGAATACCTTAATTCCAGCATTAGGCTTGTGCTATGCATCACTCACAGTTGCAGCCTCTTCGCATTCGACTTTACGAGCAACCCGAAGCAACCCGGAAGACTGTTTTCAAGCCTCGAAAGCCTCGACAATTTTCTGTCTTTAATGGTACGAAACTAAAGCAAGTGAGGCAGCAAGCGGCTATTTCTAATAAGCTGAATTTATGTGCTTTGGCACTCGGTATCTGTCATAAACAAGGATTTAGGACGAGAGTACTGTAATTGAACTGAATTTCCCTCGCCCTCATTCGGGTTCAAACTGCGCACGTCTGGTTTTGTGAGCTCTGCCGTAGCTGGATATGCCGGAGTGAGCACCCACTCCACCCACTGGCGCCTGTGGATGGTTTGTTTGGCAATGTATTTGGAACAATTTTGAGGAAGTAAAGTCAATCGGTCTCGGTTCATAGTGTCTGCTTAAGCCCCAACGGAGTTTAGCTCTGAATCTGGCAAAAGCAGTGTTTTCGATGCTCAAGATGGAATTTCCAATGACATTGTTTTGATTGCCGGTAACACGAATGGTCGGGTAGGATGATCAAGCGCTTCTGACGCACCGGTAACACCTGCTTCAGATGTACGCCAATCACAGAATGTTTCTTTGCAGTGGCGATTTATGAAGAGTGGAGCAGTTGACAACGTGGCTTCCACCAGCAAGCCAGCTCTAATCCACATAGACTACACTGCCACTAGCTACGAAGAAGTGAGGAAGACCGATCAGTGCTTACCCTTCATCCGCGGTACCTGTGTGGAATACCTCCGATCATATACACGTCCTTTGGTGCATTCCACGGCGTTTTTCAAGTCTGTGTGAAAGGTATACAACCCACTCAACCATCCAGAATCTTGCGGATCTACGATTCAAACAGACCTATTTGAACTGACTCCTCAGATGCCTATCATACGGTCCAATGTTCGACGTCACCGTTCACTGGAGCCAAGTGTCCGAATTGCTAGTGAATGCCTGTTTGCGGTGCAACCCAGCCAACCTTATCCATATACTGGATCTAGACAAACCACTCCTAGTCACAACCACAACTCAGCACGATACATCATCTGAGGCCAGGTGAAACTGAGTGCCTTTACTCACACAGAGGATGTTGGACCAGAAAGGTGGAAGGAATGGAAGATAAATAAATCGTTGAAAACACCTTCGAATCGTTCCGCCCAGTTCATGCGACTCGTCCTTGGAAGTCCATTGCCAGCAGAATAATCAAGGACAGAAATGGCCCTCTGATACTCAGCTAATGAGAACGTTTTGACCTTTGGGTACAATACCTCAAACAGCAGTTCATTTGGCCACATGCCACCTCAAATCCGGAATGTGAATACTCTAAAAGACAGGTAAGTTGGAAATATGGAGCCCCTTTACCAGCGAAAAATTCCAAGTGTGTGTTTATTCACCGTTTTTATTACTTTTTCCACTAAAGCTTTGGTTTTGCAGGTTCCTCATCGTCTTAAGGCTGCACGAGAAACCTTGACTCGTTAACACGTGGCGGGATTTTTACAAGTATATGCTGCGTGACCACATCTTCACACGCCGTCAGGTGCTATGGCAGTACCACGTGTGCAGACGCATTCTCAGTATTTCCTGAGTTTTATGGTTTGATCAAATATGTCGACATATCAGAGCTGTCAACCATACTTGCTCGAAAGTGCATGGGTGAGAAATTGGTGAACATAAGGACATACTTGCTCGACAGTGCATGGGTGAGAAATTGGTGAACATAATCCGGTCCCTTACTAGCACACTCCTGGGCTCATGAGGGTGTGATGAGCCATCCAAAAGTTTCCTTACAAGAAGTAATATCCAGAAAGGATTCACACTTTAACCTCTCGTCATAGAACAATGAATGAGGAAGGCGCTGGAAGGTCCTCAAGAACCCGGTAATTAAACCATTGTCGGTGAAGACCTTGTTCATCTGGGATATGTAGTCGACATGGTAATCATCTTTGAAGTTCAAAGCGAAGCACAAGTCATTTTGAATAATCAGGACTTCATAATACTATCTTTTAACATGCGTCCTGAAACTTCAAAGATGCGAAGTCTTGTTGTAGGACGTGCAATCTCTAAACATGGCCTTTACAATTCAAGAGAAATCCCTAAATTTTTTGTGAAAAATTTTTAAATACCTCTGTAGCTGTATTCGCTTTGACGATTGAAGTCAATAAAAACAGTGCATGAATCTAGAGGGCTCGAATAGGCTTTGCCAAAGTTGCTTCAGTTGTGGTGCCAAAACGTTATATCACAATGGTCACAATGGTCATATCTATCAGGATGCATTGAGGGCTGTATTGCTATATATATGCGATACATGGCCTCTGCATCTCCATTTTTTAGGGAACCTATGCTTTAGTGTTGGGTGGCGTCAACTAATTTGTAACGGCGAAATAGTATGTGATTGTACAGCAGACAATTATTCGCGAAAAGCAAACGCAGAACAAAAATGGCCAATGAACTGTCAAAACCTTTCTGTCAACACTAATTTGATAATTGTACCGACGCAACTCAAATGTTCCTGTTTAACCCTACTGCACCCATCATTCTCTCCACCTCACAATGTTCTAAATTTCTCTGTATTTTGTATTGTTTATTGACTTTCAAGTAAACGCAACTGAATTAAAAAATAAGGCTTACCTGACCGACGGGACCAAAGATTAGAATAATAAAGATGACAGCAAGTCGTTTGTTTTGGGCGTATATCTAAAAGGCAAAAAATAACATCTTATACGGGCCCGACAGGAGAAATACAAGTAAGCATTACAACGGGCAAAATGTTTTCGTTGTAGGAGTGAATCCTGAAATTTAGCACAAACCCAAATCATTCTTCACAGTTTTGAGGTGATTTTGTCAATCACTGTGGTCGGATAGCTATAAATCTGACAATTTCTGCGGCATACGTCTAATACCGTTTCATTGAAATATCTCCATTTAATGGAATATAACCGAATAAGAAGCACTAATAATCGTTGCTGAGTTGTATTCGCTGGACGATCTTTACCATAACATGTAGGTGGTAACCGACTATCTTCCGTTGAAACAGATATGGTCAACAGTAGAAAATTCTTGAGCAGACCAAGGTATTTCACAAATGATCAAAATCCGTTTTGATGGAGAAAAAATTCAAGACAAACCTTGAAAACTATTCGACTACACTGTCATTTGCTTTCAGCAGAAAATGTGCAACTAAGATCATTTTGCTTAATGTGAATTTCGACCGATCTCTGCCTGAATTTTCGGGAGTACACTTTTGAACTCGGCAGTTGGCATGCCTCATTTGTTGTTGCGGAGTCAGCCATGTAGTTCTCCTCGGTTAGATAAATGTAGTGTGAAGGTATCGCATGGCTACTTTCGTAACTCCTAACAAATTAAAGATTGAATTTAGACTACGTGCACTATTCCATTTGTTGAGTGACGCCAACGATATTAATATCAATGATCCAGATATCTCAACTGTGGAAAAGGGATTTTATGGGAAAAGACAAAATTATTTGGGACTCCTAACAAAAGATTGAATTTAGACTACGTGCACTATTCCATTTGTTGAGTGACGCCAACGCTATTAATATCAATGATCCAGATATCTATCTCGTGGAAAATGGATTTTATGGGAAAAGACAAAATTATTTGGACTGACTAGAATGGCACCGCTGAAAATCGGCTGGAAAAGCAAAAAGCGATCTATCCTGTTAAAGGAACATTACTGGTATCCACTGAGATGAATTCTAGTGGAGCGAAAACCTGGTTGTTGTCTTCATGCTGTTGGTGTCACATGACTCTAATGAATAACTGGCAACACTAAACGTAGAAATGCACTCATTTGCAAATCGATTTGGTTTTCATGAGAGACTCAGCTGAATGCAGCTGAATGTGCTGCACACAGGCCACCTCATGTTTCAGTTGGCACGATATTAAAGATATCGGAGTATATTTTTTAAACGAAACTACTCACAAGGTTGCTGAAATCTCTTTGACAGCCCACGACCGGTTTCGCCCTCCTTGGGGTTCATCAGGTAGGCGCAGTCTCCGAGTTTCCGTTAACCTTGTGCTCTTCTTGAACTCTAATTGGACTGTTTTCAATATATATACTCATTTGCAAATCAATTCGGTTTTCACTAGAGACTCAACTGAATCTCTCGTTTATGCTATCTGTCGTTTATGATATCATCTAACCACTTGTGTGGGCTTGGATATAAAGGTTAATAAATGTCAACATTCAGACATTTAGGTGCCTTTGCTTTCCACGGAATAATACTTCTTCAAACATGCCCTGTATGGGACAAA